TTACTATGGTAAATATCAAAAAATTTCTATATGTGATACGGCACCAGAGTTAAGTTAGGGTTTTTCAAAATGCTCACACGCCGAGCTCAAAAGGTTTGCCATCACTGTCTTAGAACCTCCCTATTGGGAACTTAAGGAATGACATTGGGGTTTTTCAGTAGGCCCTTTGTATCCTTTTCAGGAAATAGGCTTGGGCTCACCTCTCTTTCTGTCAGTCTAGTTTTGAGTCAGTGCTGACCATGCATGTGGGTTTATTTCAAGATCTAAGTTACTTAAGTGACTACAGGGTCCCTCGTCTTACACTGGTCTTTAATATACTTAAGGATTATGTATCATAAACTTTTTTAAATCACAATATTTTTTCAGGGACTTAATCATCACATTACATGAGATTAGCATTTTAAAGCCTTTCTTCCCCCCCACAGAGATGTTGAGGATCAATAAAGCAACATCTTAGAAGAAAAGTGCTAGGCAATAGAGTTTGTGGGTCAATAAAGGTTTTTCACCAGGGTGTTGCAAAGAACTGAATTGCAGTCAGCTTTACATTTCTCAGCATTCCATCTTCTTTCTTTGCAGAGATCCTGTCCTTTGTCCTCTTTTTCTTTTATCTTGCTTAACTTTCCATGATCATAAGTATTTTTAAAATGCCAGTCTTTCCCAATCCTCCCACAGCTAGTTTTCATCAGCAGACACAGAAGGATAGTGTGTGTCCCGTGTCACAGCAGTTATACATTGCTCAGTGTTGCTTGGACAATGGGGAAGTGGTAACAAGTAGGGAAAAGAGAAGTGACAGCTGTGGGGTGTTGGTGCAGTCAGGAACAGCCTTGGGTGACTCACAACAGGAATTCCAAGCTTCCACCATGGCTGCCTATAGTGTGAGATCAGATCATTGCTTCTCATGCTCTGGGGGAATGCAGCCTAAAGGAAGAGAGCAGGATTGATTTCCTAGACACCTTCATCGCAACCAATGAAGATTTTTTATCTTTTTCAGGATTGGGTGTGGTCTTGATCGTCTGCAATGGGAAAATGTATCCACAATAATTGAGGAGGTGTTTGAGGCAACAGACATCAGAATTACTGTGTACACACTCTGAACAGATGAGCATTTTGGATGTGACCATGTTTTCCTGTGTCATTCCTACTGGGCCACAGGCCTGGGCAAACTGACTTCAAAAATGATCAGAGGAAAGTTTCATGTGAAATTGTCTGTGTCACAGGCCATGCTTGGGTTTCTGTATTCCCATGATTGGACTGGGACTCTGAAGGAGGGATTGCTTGGGAAATGTTGCTGTGATTTTTTTCTTTTCCTTTCAGGAAGGTAGGTAATAGCCTGATATTAGGCAGGGAACCACGTGTTGGGCCCTATGATCCTTTTTTTGCCCCAGGATGCTACCTAATTTGTTTGGCTTGCCACTAGGTGGCAGCATTGATTCTACTTCTCTGCTGTTTAAGAGAAATTTCAGGAAGAATTAACTTTCAGTTAATTTTGCATTTTTTGTCATTTGTGCATTGACTTTCTATTATCCGTATGTCCTCAAATTCATCCTAGGAAAGAATTTTGAGGTTTGTTTCTTTTGTTTAAATTACAAAAATGGATTTTTACATTGTCAACAAGGAATTTGTGGGGGGAAAAGTGGGAAAATAAATATCTTCTTGGGCTACAGTGAGGTTCTGTACACATGTTTGTGTTGTTCTAGACTTGGATAACGGAGGATTCACCTATAATTTAATTTGGAAAAATCAGAGGGGTCTAGTGGGAAGGCAGCAAGGTGAAAAATAGGAATGGATGGCATCTGTGGGTCAGCTCACTGGTAGGGCGGGATTTTAGAAACCACTCATGGTGAACTCTTCTGTTCACTACATAGTTTGTGACTGAACCTTTCTGAATTCAGTCATGAAACATGAAATAATGTATGGTAAATGCTTGGCAAAGTGCTTACTGAGGAGTAATGACTTCTCAACACAATCCATATGAATCTTCTTCTTCAAAAAAGACTCACTTCCAAAAAAACTTCTATTTTGGTAGTAGGGGGGTTAGGGAAGATGGCCAGGTTTCTTTGTTTTTAAGCTCCAGAGGACACTAAGGTATAACCAGCTGGGAGGGAGAGCAGTAAATATTAATCCTCTTCTTAAGCTAAGAAAGCAGCACTTTGTCTACTCTTGTTTTTGTGGTGGGAGAAGAAAGTTCATGAGTTTAGCCAGTGGTTCTGTATCAGGGGTATTGGGAAAACAAGTGGAGTTTTCATCTTTCCTTGCCCCCCCCCCACCCCCGCCCCTGTCCCTTGTACTATGGTGTTATGAGTTAAAACAGCTAGACCTACTATTGATTTTCTCCCTTGAGTGAATTCTGGGCCTTCATGGGACTTGCTTTCTCAAGTGGACAAGAAGTGGATTTTAGAATGTGCTTGTTGAAACAGCAGGAGAGCACTGGTTAAATATAACCTTTGTACTTTAGACTTGTGTTCTTATCACATTGCAGCCTGATATGAGGCAGCAGTTTAAAAAAGTATTCCACATCTTTTGTACTTCTGTGTGGAACACAGAACTTCTCCATGTAGTTGGGGTGGGGTAGGGCAGGAGCAAGTTCATGATCAAACTTTTAGACTAAGGCTTTTCTTGAAGAAGCTTTGCTTCTGTTCATTATTAGTGGTAAAACTGAGGGGGAAAGAAGGGAAGGAATGTCTCAATACACAAAACTGAAAATGAGAATGGGTAATAAGAGAAAACTTAGAATTAAATTATTTTGCAAACTATGCACATAAATCTTAACACTTGGGTGAAAACATTGCTGCTTCTACATAGGGCAATTTTTTCTCATGGAGTAAGAACCTTCACGATTCTTTTAACAAAGCTTAGTTTTGTGGAGAACTGGCAGTAAGTGGAATTCCTGGACTCAGCAGGGATGTGATAAAATGTTTTGTTATTTGTAGATAGTGTTGGGGTCAAATTCCGATGACTTATCACACTCAAAGCCTGGAGAAAGGCATTGCCTGATAATCAGAATAAGCACATTATTCCTGGAAACCTAGTTAGAGTTTGGCAGCTACCCAGCACTTCACATGTGAAATTTAACTTCTACATAGGACTCAGATCTTTTAAGAAATGAGACTTTGACATCATCCTGCCATCACCATCAAGTACCACATGTTGACTCCTCATATTGTGTATCTGAACATGAAAATCCTACTCACCTCTAATTAATCAAGAGGCTAATTGCTTATTAGTTGGCTGTTGGGACATGGATATTTTAGAAGTATTTCCCATGGCTTTTGTTTCACCCTCTACTAAGGAATCTTGGAAGGAAATACTTTATGAAGGTCAAGACCAGGATGAGAAGTCTACATGGGAGAGTTAGTATCCTGTGTTAGTAGCCAGGTTCTGATTTAAGCTTCCCTCCCACTTAAAATGTAGCCTGGGAAACCCCTATTCCTGGGACTTCATTGCTGTCCATAGTTAACATCTAAATGTCCAAGTTTCTTTAAAAACCTGGTCACAGAAAAATCACGCCACTTTTATTATTGCTGCTTATTTTTCTTTAAAAAAAAAAAAGGCCAACTTAACATAAATGCATTTCTGGACATATTTAAAAAATCTGCACAGATCTTGGGTCCGAGGCTCTTTGCCTTAAGCAGCCCATTTGGGGGAATAATTAGGACCCTCAGACCCATGATACCTGGTGCCCATATATGTTTGCTATTTCTCCTTGCAACTCTCTTCTTTCCCAAGAGCAGCCTTAGAGAGAGAGGCACCGCTAAAATAATTTATAGCATGAGAAGTATATTTTGAGTCCTTAGAGGGCCTTGTGCAGTGGGATTGGTTGGTGTTAAATGTCCAGCTCCACGTGGTATTAGGAAGTCAGGCGTGTCCCAGATGCCCATACATGTCACCGCCATCTCTTGGCAGCAGGCAGACCTTGAGAAAACAGAAAACATGTTACTGAGAGCCGTGCTGGCCCCAAACAATGAAGAATTTTCTGTTTTAATTACTGTTTCTGTGTGCCTTCCCCAAGTCCCAGAATTTCTCCATTGTGTCCTGTGACTTCTGGTTTACCCAGGGTTGGATCTGTTCCATTCATGTTTGGTATGGTTCACACAGAAAAACCCCAGAAGAGATCTGCTTTAACTCTGTTCCTTTGAGTTGAATACATGGCTAAATCCTAGTCTGTCATTTTTTAAAAAGATGGAATAAGAAATATGAGGAAATTTTTCTTTAGCAAATGCCTATTTCTTGGGATTATTTTAATTAAGCAGAGTTGTTTGTTAGGTCTTTTAGGTAACGACTCTATTTTTTTTTAAACTTAGTACATTTTAACCGTTTCCTTCAGGAACATGAGTAACTCAAATAGGGAAGCATGTTAATAATGGGTCCAGATAATATAGGTATGTCCACTAATGGAATGAGACTTATAATGTGGAAAATGTCCAATAATATTTTAAGAAGAATTTGACTTAGAAATGGACTTTTTCCATCAAGCTGATTTATCTATTTACTTCTGTTTAGATTAGCATAAGGTACAACCCTCAATTATCTAAAATTAAAAGCTCTATTTAATCTTCCCTGAAATGCTTAATTTTTATAGCAGATTTAGCCATCTCATTTGACTTAATGAGGGAAAAACAACAACAACATACACAAATCCCTGAGGACTTGCTAGTTAGGCAGCTGGAAGAAGTGGCCCATGACTCTGAAAGATGTTTAAGAAGTATACTAGGGTTAAAAGTTAAGCTACTAGTCTTTCTGTAGAATCTATGTAGGGTTTATAATTACCCTAATAAAATCTTCAAGGAATTTAAAAGCTAATTTTGTATCTTCAAAGATCACCCTTAGAAATCTGATTGTATTACTATGTAAAGTGGTGTCTTATTTTATATGCGTAGAGTACCGCATGACATTACCTGACCATAGTCTCACTGAATTCAATGAATGGGTCCTGTTTTTTTTGTAAGAAATGGCTGAAAATTGTGTCTTTATGGATTGGCGAATGCTCATCTGGAGCAGCGGTTGCCAACCTTTGGGACCTCACGGACCACCGGTTGGCGACCACTGATCTGGAGGATAACCAGGCACCCTGAGTGCATGTCTAATAGCACACTCCTGCCAACATCAACCTCCAGAAATTGATATTTTCAAAACGTGTTTATGAAGTGAATCTTAAGTATATTAAGAGAGACACCAAAAATGAATAACTTCATGGAAGCATGCTTCTTTTGTGTTTTAGTAATATGTTATTCCAAAATTAAGGTTTCTTAAAGAGAGTGGTGAAGACCCATTCCCAGTTACTGGAGGACTTTGATCAGTAACTCAGGCCTAGTAAAGGGACTTCGCCATACATAGCATTGCTGTGGGAGCAAAGTAGAATAGACCAAATTCAAAAAAAGATAGTAAAGAATTCTTTACCCTCTTTCCTGAGGGTAATTGGCCTGTTTCTGTAAGAGTCTAATTTACCCTCAGCAAGAAGCCAAATCGGCCTTAATTGTGTCCTAATTATTTACTTAAATAGCTAATTTTTACCTCCAGTTCTCCTATTACATCTTGATATCTGTAGGAGGCTACTTCTGAGCGGCTGCCTAATTTACAAACATTTTTTAACCCTTCAAACATTCCTGCATGGAAGAGTGTGTTGCTATATTATCCCCATCCCTGCATTCAGCATTTTTTTCTGAGTTCTGCTGTCTTTCCAACATTGGGAAAATGTTCTTGCATTATACATTCACACAGCAAGTATTGGTCTCCCTCAAAGCAGAATCATTTGTTTGAAAACATGAAAGCTGCTCTGGCCAAAAATTGGGGAATTTCAAAAGTATCAAAAATGAAAAAAAATAATTACCCCCAATAGAATGAAACACCTGCTTTAGAGGAAAAAATGGAATGGTAGGATTGCAAATGGAGGTGGGAGCAAGGCATCTACATTACTAATTCTGGATACACGCCCATGGGGGCATATTTAGGGGATTGAAATATATTCTAGGCTGTTTTCCAGTAGTAGGCTCTTGTGCCATCTAAACCTTAATACAGACTTTCTCATGAAAGCTTTCGGATTCCTGTCAACCCTATGATTCCATGTTATAGGGAAAGTTAGTCTGATATAAAAGAGTAGGAGGGAAAAGGATTTAGGGAGAGGAATTTAGAGGAAATAAAAGGAGAGAGGATCTTCTAAAACAGTGGTTCTCAACCTTCCTAATGCCGCGACCCTTTAATACAGTTCCTCATGTTGTGGTGACCCCCCCAACCATAAAATTATTTTCGTTGCTACTTCATAACTGTAATGTTGCTACTGTTGTGAATCGTAATGTAAATGTCTGATATGCAGGATGTATTTTCGTTGTTAAAAATTGAACATAATTAAAGCATAGTGATTAATCACAAAAACAATATGTAATTATATATGTGTTTTCCAATGGTCTTAGGCGACCCCTGTGCAAGGGTCTTTTGACCCCCCAAAGGGGTCGCAACCCACGGGTTGAGAACCGCTGTTCTAAAATGTTTTTACAGTCAACCGAAAGCAGAAAAAACAAATCTTTCCCAAGGAAAATCTAACCCCACTGGTTCCACCTGGGACCTCCAGCCTTCAGCCCTGTTACTGGAGTAATGGTGCCATGACTCACGTGAAGCTGAGCTCAGTCGCCTACTTCAGGATGTCGGCCAACTTTTCCTCGTAGTACAGGAAGTTCTCCTGAATGTCCTCCCAGGGCTCAAAGGCCTTGGATTCGCCCTCTTCCTGCTCCACAAAATTCTGCCAGATGTACTCGAAGTCCTGGGGCTTCATGATGCGCAGCCGGCAGCCAGCCTCCTTCAGCTTCTTCAGCGCAGCCTGCATCTCGGGCTCCTCCCACATGAAGAGGCGCCCCACCAGGATGAGCAGGCGCAGGTTCTTGGTCTTGCTAAGGGTTTTGATGATGCGGTCGGCGCAAGCTACGCAGGGGCTGGAGGACACGTACCAGGTGACGTTGTAGCGCAGGGCTGGGTCGAAGGTTGGCACGACGGTGTTGAAGAAGGCTTCCTCCGCGTGGGCAGTTGCATGCTCATCCTCGAGGTATCCCCGGGATGCCTGCACTTGGCCTCCCTTGTCCTGCACTTCAATCACATAGCAGAGGAAGGTCTTGTTCCGCCCCGAGCTGTACTCCACATTCCGGAACTGGAACTTGAAATAGTTAACAGGCAGCCGCTCCCTGTGGGGTCGAGAAGACAAAGGGACAGGGAAGAAGAGAGAATGATGAGTTCTTCGTAGGGCCAGACCTCCTCAGCATGAGGGACAAAAAGGCATGAAAGCATCCCACAGGGTTTCTCTGGAGGAAGGAGAATTTGGGATGAGGGGTGCATTCTGGTCACCCCATCAGGAAGGGTCTCCAAACAACCAACATCACTTGCTGTGCACAACACACGCCTACATTTCTAAGTCAATGTCTCTTTAAGCTGGCTCTACATTAGCAGCACCTAGAAGGCTCTGCCAATAATGCCTGGGCCCCACACAAAACCAGTTAAATCAGAACATCTGGGGGTAGGAGGGACCAGACATCAGCATATTAAAAAGCTCTCCAGATGATCCTAATTTGTGGCCAGGTTTGAAAAGCAGTGTTCAAATAGTAATTTTACAAAGTAGCAAGCATATACAATTTCTCATGACAGCAAGACAAAGATTTCGCAGAACATTTCATGCTTCGTTCCTCCTCCTTGTCATTCATGTATGTTGCATCTTCCCTCAGAATGGCCTACAGTTTGCAGTGCCACCACGCTCTCCTAGTGACTGTTTCTCAAGCCTGTCTTTTCCCTCAGGTGAAAGAAAGGTTGTCCTAGAATTTTTATCTTGGAGGCCACACTACCTAAGGGTATCTTGATATGATTTAGCTTCTAAGATTTGGCCCCTACCTTCCAGATACTTATAACCTAGCAGCTAGATTCTAGCTGGACAGGAGAGATATAAATAAGACAGCTGCAAACAATAGAAAACTGCTAAAAAGGAGTAGGTAGAGTGAAGGACATATGAAGGCTCTTGAAAGTTTAGCCTTGATTCAGGAGGCAATAGAGAATTGTTACAGGTTCTTGAGTAACAAAAGACACAATAAATCGCTTCTCTTTGGCTAAGATCGAGTATAGTATCTGTTCTTACCATTTTAATATCGGATACGGCCTCTACCCAAGGATGATATATTAAATGAATTTTTGGAGCAGGGAGGTGGAATAGGAGCTTGCTCCGTCTATTCTGCTTATCTGTTGCAGTACTTCCGGAATGGTGCACAAAAAAGAAAAGAGAGAAAGACGGTAAAAGTCATGCCCACAGAAGAGGGCTGTGGTGGCTTCAAGCAGACAGAGTGAAACTGGAGAAAGCCTGAAATAGAGACAGCCCACTTGGAGTCTGAGGAAACCAGACTTGGTGGTGAATATGTCCAGTGGCTTCAAGGGGAGATGGACGACGAGGAAAGGAAAGCAGCAGAAAAAGACTGTTTGTTTTTTTTTAAATAGATTTTTATTGATTTCAGAGAGGAAGGGAGAGGGAGAGAGAGAGAAACATCAATGATGAGAGAGAATCATTGATTGGCTGCCTGCTGCATGCCCCCTACTGGGGATCAAGCCCACAACCTAGGCATGTGACCTCCTGGTTCATAGGTTGACGCTCAAACACTGAGCCACTGCGGCCAGGCTTTGAAAAGTTTAGTAGTAAGAAGAAGGGGAGAAAAGTGCAGACATACTACTAGACAGGACATCGGAGTTGAAGGTTGTTCCTATCTTTATGTGGAGGGGAGTGTTTTTCTAAAATAGGAAGATTTGTGCAGGTTTGAAGGCCAAGGAGGCTAGAATAGGAGAGCGTGAAAATGCCAGAGGGAGAGCAGGGGATGACTAGCACCAGCTGGACAGGTTGAATGTTTTCTTTTTAAAAAATGTCATCTCTGGGGAGCATTTGGGATCTTGCCCCCCAGCAGATGTCATCAGTTTGGCTCAAATAAACTCATAACAATTCTCAAAATAAAAATAAAAACAAAAGTGCAATGTCTCTGGCTGCCCCAGAAGATATCCTGAGGCAACCATTAACTTCTCTGCTGCTTCTCTCCCTGCCTTCTGTTTCCCCAAAGAGGTCAGCTAACTCCCTGGGCTGCAGGGGAATCCCTGGTATCCCAGGGCCTTGGCTTGTTAGGGGTAAGTAGCAGGTGCCAAAGAGCTGAGTAAACTTGAGCTGTTGCCCTGCAGTGTGCCCTTCCTCACATCACCAACTTTATTCTCCCCAAGTTTCCATGTCCCTTGCTGGCAAGTTAAGTTTCCACTTCGGAGATGGATGTGTTTGAGGACCCAGCCCCAGGGATTCCTTTGGGTGCTATACTTAGCTCTCTAAGCCCCTCTGTCCCTGCCTTCCTCCCATCACCAACTTTATTCTCCCCAAGTTTCCGTGTCCCTTGCTGGCAAGTTAAGTTTCCACTTCAGAGATGGATATGTTTGAGGACCCAGCCCCAGGGATTCCTTTGGTGCTATACTTAGCTCTCTAAGCCCCTCTGTCCCTGGTTGGATGTGTTTGTTATTGACTTAGTATTCTGGGAGAATGGGTGACCCGATGCTGCCCCTCTCCTCTTTCAGCCCCTGCTGGGATTAGCTCTCCCTAATAAACTCACCACCAGACCACTCCTGAACTTTGCGGTTGCTAAATGACCCCTTCTCTTCCGGAGTGGCTTTTCCCTTCCAAGAAGCACAGAACTTACCTTTCTCGCCCAAGTCCTTTTTTGCTCTTCAAGGCCTTTTGCCAGACCACGCCACCCCACCCCACCCCACCCCGAGTCTAATCCAGAGCCACCTGTATGATAGATTCTCAGAAGTCCTCACTTCATGTTGTCAATAAATTCTGCGACTTTAACCAAAACAACATATAAGAACCCAATTTTACCATAGGCTAAATGATATAAACAAGATTTAAGTTCTGATGGCATCTCATCAATGTTATAATGAAACGTTGAAAAAGACGTGGTTATTGGAGGACCTGCTGTTTTCATGACTGTGATTGGCTTGAGGGCTTCAGCAATGGCTGTCAGTGGTCCCTCGGGTTTCCTTCTGGAACCCCCAGAAGTATTGCACCAACTTGGCCAAGTACAGCCCAGCCTAGAGTATGAATTTGGCCCAGTGTGCAATTGCCAGTTGGCCTGATGGTCTGAGACTGCTGCTTTCTCAGACCCTCTTAAGCTCTGGTGTTTTTCCCTCGTCCTTCCCTGGGGAAGGGGAGAGGACCGAGAGAAACGTGAAACCCAAGGGAGAGGAGGAAAGTTCACTTCTATAAATATCATTTTCCAACCCCTCTGGCCAGCAGCCTCATGGTCTACCCTGCCCCTCAGCAGAGACAATAGAAAGACAAAATAGATGCCTCAGGGAGGGAAGTGCTTTCAAGGGGGAAAGGATAGTCAGGGAAGGCCTTGGCTCCCAGCCTTTCCTTTGGGCTTCCACAGAGACTGGGTTTGCTTGGCTTCTCCAGTTTGGTCTTCTGGAAGGAGCATAAAGATCAAGTGATGTTCTTTGGGAATTCCCACAGACTGAAAGAGCTGGGCCCCTGAGGGAAACCAGGGCAACAGAGTTGGTAAAGCTCTGAAACTTCCCCAGGGAGCTAAGACAACATGGTCATCTTGGGTGACATTACAGAATCACAAACTAAGCCAACACATTATGCCCACTGGTAGAAGGGGAAACAGTGACACTTCTTAAATTATCACAAACATTTTTTTCTAAGTAGTATGATATGCCGGTGGACCACATTTACTTATACTCTGAACCCCAGCAGATAAGTTTAAAGTGGTGTGTGTGTGTGTGTGTGTGTGTGTGTGTGTGTGTTGGAGTGGTGGTCAGGAGAGAGATGCAGATGGTAGAATTTTTTACCTGGGCTCAGTTACTTCTTCAGGCACAGAAACCAACAGCATTATTCCTACCCCCAGCCTCTTTAAGTACCACTTTCTCATACTTTCTGCAGTCAAGGCCATTCATACTTCATCTGCTTAGACCCAGGGTACTGGACTGGGCATTGCAATTCTCTAGGCAGGAAACTGAGACTCCAGATATCTAGAAAAAAATTGGGATGATGGTCTGCTTGGTGGAGGGGAAGGGATGTGAGTAAATGTGTGTATATATACATATGTGTGTATACATATATACACATGTATGTATGTATATACACACATATATATGTGTGTATATATATGCACACATGTCTACAATAATAAAAGCATAATATGTTAATTAGACTGGACATCCTTCCGTACGAAGCCACAGTGGCGGGGGCCGAGCCCCTTGCATGAATTTCATGCATTGGACCTCTGATATATACACATATATATATATCCATGTTCACATTTAAAAACATTTGTGTTTTCTAAACAAAAATCTATACAGTGAAAAGAAGCAACCTGGCGGGCAGTAGATGCTGGTCTGAGATTAAATATTTGCTCCAAGGTAATCTAGGGAGTGGAAAATCCATTCACTGGTAACTGAGTGTTGACTCATTTCAGCTTTCTTTCACTAGACCTGCTCAAATGAGGCAGAATTGCCAGTTTCAGGTTCCTTTTCCATTTTCAGACAACTTTCAAAATGAATGCTAAAGTGGGCCTCAACTGAAGGAGGAGTGGAGAGAAGCTGGGAGTTGGAACAGACTGACTTCCTTGCGCTGAGAAGGGGTGTGGTGGGCTGCCTGCTCCTGATTGGCAGTTCTGGATAGGATTCTGACCTCGGCAGGCCCTGAGTCCACGCCTTTTCCCTGAGCAGCGCCATCTTTACACTGAGAGGAGACCAGGGTGGTCAGAGTCAGTGCTGTCTTATATTCTTTTTAATATATATATATTTTTATTGATTTCAGAGAG